AAAAACTAAGGGATTAGTTTATTCCTCAAATTTTGAAAACTCTGCCTTTCTCTTTCTATGTTTCAGAATTTTCCTATGTTCTTTTGTTGGTTTGTTGTGTTGTAGAAGAGAGGATTAGAGGAATGAGCCTATTCAATTATAGCCAGAACTCGAAGTCCAAATTTATTTTTAGTTCCGATTCAGTTCTGAGTTTTCTGATATCTCCTTTATCTTAGATCAGCTTTCTTCTTATGAATAGTCATTGTATTTCCTATCTTCTTTCAAACTTTATTTTCAAACTATGACTGTTTATTTATTCTACCTCTTTGTAGTGGCATATAGTTGAATCTTTTTTTAATCCAACCTGACAATATCTGTCTTTTAAGGTTTAGTTCATTTGCATTTAATTGATTAATTAAATGTATTATCATGTAATTACTTTATTATAATGAAACAATGAAATAATGTGAATTGAGTTTATTTTCCTGCCATTTGCTTTCTTTTTGTCCTATATCTCTTTGATCCTTTACTCTTTTCTGTTTTATTTTGGGTTAATTGTGTATTTTTTAGCATTTCACATTGTTTCTTTTCTTGTTTTTTAGCAATTTGTTTTTGTGCTTGCTCTAAGAATTCATTATTATTTAAATTTATCACAATCTATCTTGAGTTAATATTATACACTTCATTTCTCATGTGAGAACTTTATAACAGTTCAATAACATTTACCTCACTTATATATATTTTTGCTATTATTGTTATAGTTTCCCTTTTTTTCTGAATGTTTTAAATATTTTATTTTTGGATTTCAGCAGTTTGATATAAGTTATGCCTAGCTGAGGCTTTCTATGTATATATTTTTAAAGATTTTATTTATTTATTCATGAGACACACAGAGAAAGAGAGAGGTAGAGACACAGGCAGAAGGAGAAGCAGGCTCCATGCAGAGAGCTTGATGTGGGACTCAATCCCAGATCCTGGGATCATGCTGTGAGGCAAAGGCAGATGCTCAACCAATGAGCCACCCAGGCATCCCCGCTTTCTGCTTATTTGTTCTGCTTAGAGTCCATCAAGCTGAATCTATGAGTTGAATTTTTTCAACAACTTTGGAAATTTTCATTCATTATTTCTTTAGATATTTTACTGGCTCTCTTCTCCTTTTTTATGAGACTCAAATTATACATATATTAGACTGCTTGATACTATATTAAGAAGTCACTCACACTCTTCATTCATTTCAGTGTTTTCTCTTTCTGTGTTTCAGTTTCACCAATCCTTTCTGTGGTTTCTGATCTGCTGTTAAGTTATATCCAAGTAAATTTTTGTTTAAATATAATATTTATTATATTTATTTATTATATTATTTAGGATTATCTTTTGATTACTTTTATATTTCTCTTGCTATTATCCTTCACTTAGTCCACTTATCTTTTCATGAAAATTCTTTGTATTAGTAACAGAGTTGTAAAAATTTTTGTCTACTAATCAGTGTGTTTACTTCTACTATTTTTCTTTTTATTATGAATATGTTTTGTAACTTTTAGCATTTAGCGTGGAAAGCTAATAATTCTCATTCCTTTAAGAATTGATTTGAGCAGGAATTGATCCATATTGTAATTGAGTTCTTGTCTGATTTGTCTAACCCATAATCTCTCCTATTGCTCCTTCCCCTGAGGGGTGGATTTCTTTGACATTGCCAGTATTTTAGCTGGCAAGAGTTGAACTCTGATTTTAAATAGTTTTGGTTTAATCCTAGCAGAGCTTCAAAATACAATTACCACAAGAACATGCAGAATGAGAGTCCTCTGTTTCTGAGTTCCTGCTTTTTATAGTTGTGTATTTTTTTTAAATATTTTATTTATTTATTCATAGAGACAGAGAAAGAGAGAGGCAGAGACACAGGCAGAGGGAGAAGCAGGCTCCATGCAGGGAGCCCGACATGGGACTCGATCCAGGGTCTCCAGGATCACGCCCTGGGCTGCAGGCGGCGCCAAACCGCTGTGCCACCAGGGCTGCCCTATAGTTGTGTAATTGCCAATCAAACCATAAAACATTTTCATTATCCCTCAAAGCCTCCTTTACTGCATTTAGTCAATTCTCTCCTACCTTGACTCCAGATAATCACTGATCAATCACTATACTAATGCCTTTTCTAGAATGCTATATAAATAAAATCTTATAAACGTAGCCTGATATATCTAGTCTTCCCCACTTTATTGTAATGTTTTTGAGCTTCATCCATGTTGTTCTATGTATCAGTAGTTTATTTTGTTGTGAAGAGTATTCCATTGTATGGCTATACCACAGTTCATTTATCCATTCATTAGTTAATAAACATTTAGTTCATTGGATCCAGTACCTATTTTGGCTGTTATGAATGCAGTTTCTATGAACATTTGTGTGCAAGTCTTTGTCAGGACATATGTGTTTATTCATCTTGGATAATTGCTTTGGTATAGCATTGGTGAGTTATAAGTATATATTTAATTTTTAAAAGAGATTTTATTTATCTATTCATGACAGAGAGAGAGAGAGAGAGAGAGAGAGAGAGAGAGGCAGAAACACAGGCAGAGGGAGAAGATGGCTCTATGCAGGGAGCCTGACAAAGGACTCGATCTCGGGTCTCCAGGATCACACCCCAGGCTGAAGGTGGCACTAAACCACTGGGCCATTGGGGCTGCCCAGTATATATTTAATTTTATGAGCAACAGCCAAATTACTTCCCAACGTGGAAAAATCATTTTATATTCCTACCAGCTGTCTGTGAGAGTTCCAGTGGCTGTATATCCTTACCAAAATTGGTATTGCTAGATTTTTTTATTCTCACCATTCCTAAGATTAAAATGCCATCTTTTTGGCAAAATTCATATAGGGAGCAGTTTGGTAGAAGAAAAATTATTGGGTTGAGTGATTTGCTTTGGGGACTTTTCTCATTCCAGTCTGTCTACTAGCCTAAATGGCTCAGCTGGTTTTTCTTCATCCTCTAAGTTCTGTTTGTCAATGATAGGCCTGGTTTTTGGCTTGGCTAACTTGGCATACTTCACACATACTGGGCCAAGTGCTCTTCTTTCTCCACTATGCTCCCGGAAGGTATGGATATGGCTTTGGTTCTTTGGTTATCTACAAAATGTTCTGTGGAATCAGTTCATCAATTTTTTCTCATATCTTCTCTTTTTCGATATCCTTAAGGAAAAGCATGATAATTATATAGTTTCATATATTTTTCCTTTCTGTATTTTAACACCAAAATGAAGAACTCGCATAATTTTTCACATCATAACCATAAGTGGCATTTCTGCTTCCCTTTTTAAAGATATTTTTAGAAGTGCTGCCCAGCAATTTCTTTTTATCTCATTGGCCTGATTGGGACACATGGCTACCCTTATTGGTAAAGAAGGTTGGAAAATTTATTATTATTATGATTAATTATTATTATTATTATTATTTTAAAGATTTTATTTATTTGAGAGAAAGAGAACATGAGTGGGGGGAAAGGGCAGGAGAGGGAGAAGCAGGCTCCCCGCTGAGTAGGGCACCCAATAGAGGGCTCTACCAGGACCCCAGGATCATGACCTGAGCTGAAGGCAGATGCTTAGCCAACTGAGCCACCTAGGCACACTTTATTATTATTACTACTAAGTATGCACATTGGCATCCCTAGTAAAATTGAGGTCCTGTTAGTAGGCAACTAATAGTCTCTATTATAATATTATAAGACTATTAGATACTTGTCTTAAAGCACTGTTATCATAATTTTTTATGATTTTGATATCCATGTAGATCTTTTCAAATAATCTGGCATCCCAGTTCATTAGGTTTCTTTCCTCCAATGTTTGTCTTTTAGCGCATCTCAGCAACTAACTGACAAGGTGATATCCTCTAGTCTTTATCATAACCAGTAACTTTAACTTTTCTGTATTTAAGTTTCAATCATTTTAATCTCTGGTCACTACCTCTTATTTTTCCCACTTAGTCTGTCTAATATTCTGACTCCAAAAGTCCTTTGATTCCATTGGGAACTATAATTCATTGGTTTTACTGACTTTTAATGTCCCAAAGCTTCTTTGTGGTCTTACCTACCTTAAATTCCATGGCCCATTATTATTATTGCTCCCATGCATATGTACTTTCTTTTTCTTCCATGCTATATTGATTTTATTTTGTTAAACTGTAATCTTGATCAAATCAATCATCATTTCAATATTTGTGATGTCTGAATATGAGTAGAAAAAAAACCCCCAAGTATGTCTATCATCTCATTTAATATTTATAATTAGTAACTCTATTTCGTTCATTTTCCCACTCTCCTGAATGACTAATTCAGTTTTTCTCCTCTTCTATATGGGTATGTCTTTATCATGACAAAAAAAAAAAGTGTATCAGCCTGTGAGTGTGTTTTAAAATACAATGTTGAATGAATATATTCCTTATGGAGAACATTCTGTGAGAATCCAAACTGTATATAAGCAACTGAGATTTGTTTATCATAGGTTGTTTCTGGTTTACAAATCACTGCTCTACTAAAAAAGATTGTCATTGTGATATTTTAATCTGTCACTATTTTTTCCTCAAAGTGTTCATTTGCCCATTAAGTGAGGGTAAAAGACTATAGCTATTGGCAAGTATAATTATATTCAGAAGTCTTAATGAGCATTCATTTTTTAACACAAAGAGATATTTCTAAGGTATATATAGAGTGGCTACATTTTTTTTGGGTACTCATAAACTTCAGGAGTCTAAATCTGGGATGCTTAATTTTCTGCAACTGTGTAGAGGAAAATAAAAGACTTGAGATATATGTCATTCATAGGCATATATATTCCCCAGAATATACTCTCTTCCACTTTCTGGGAGAATTTGCTAGTATAGCATTTGAAACATGATTTCAGGTCTTATATCTTTGAAGGGATGTAAATTATAGACAAAAAATATTTTCAAAAATAATTAAATATACTGAAATGTAGATGGGTATGCATATGGATTCCAAAATAAAAGTAACTTTGTTTTGTTATTCTTTTGAAAAGGTTGAGGATGATCTGAATTCATTCTTGATATGTTGCTCACAATTTGTAGCTCAGTTAGAAGAAGCAGCTAAGGAAGAACGTAATGTATGTATTTTGTGTAAACTATGAAGTATAAAATATTTAATTTACAATGATTTAAATTCTTTGTAATGTTAATAAAAATTTTTGTATTAATAAATTTTATATTAGTTTATTAAAATCATTAGTTATTAAGGGTAATTTTAGCAATATGATATTTAAAACTATATTGCCTGTTTGAACTTGAATGTGATTATCCATTTAGTAGTAGTCTAGATACAATGCTTTAAGGAGTTATAAAAGGCATTGGACAGTATTATTTATTTTTTCTATTCTTAAGGTAGGCATTTAGATCTGTGAATTTTACTTTACAGCATTGATTGGGTTATTAGTTTTTCATATTTACAAATGAAAATATATTGTGGTATTAATAGTATTTATATTGTTTAAAAAAACATTTTAATTTAAACTCAATTTAGTTAATATAGTGTATTATTAGTTTCAGGGGTAGAATTTAGTGATTCATCAGTTGTATATAAAACCCAGTGCTTATTACATCAAGTGCCTTCCTTAATGCTCATCACTCAGTTACTCCATTCCTCACCCCCTCTCCTCCAGCAACCCTCAGTTTGTTTCCTACAGTTAAGAGTCTCTTAGGGTTTGCCTCCCTCTCTGTTTTTATCTTATTTTATTTTTCCTTCCCTTCCCCTACATTCAACTGTTTTGTTTCTTAAATTCTACATATGAGTGAAATCATATGGTATTTGTCTTTCTTTGATTGACTTATTTCACTTAGTATAATACCCTCTGATTCCATCCAAATAAGATAATTTATATTATAAAATAATATAATTAATGAAAATTTCAAAAAATACATGAATAAAGAAGAAAACAAAAATGGCCATAATCCTATTTTCCCAAGATAACCAACTATTGTTCACATATTTTTGTTTCCCTTCCTGATTTTCCAAAGTGATAAAGATTTAGAAAAAAAAAAGAAATAATACTGTACATACTATTTGGTAATGCACTTTTATTATTTTTTGACTTTTAGAAAATAGTATTTATTTTTCATTTGTACACATATTATTTTTATTTTGTTAATGATTTATTTATTTATTTTGAGAGAGGGAGTAGGAGCAGGAGGAGGGACAGAGGGAGAAGGAGAAAGAATCTTAAGCAGATTCCCCACTGAGTACAGACTTGGGGACTCAATCTCATCTCCTGAGCCAAAACCAAGAGATGGATGCTTAACTAATCGAGTCACCTGGGCACCCCTGATTATAAACGTATTATTGTAGAGCATTTGAAATTGAGAAAAGTATATAGGAAAACAAGTTACCTATAATTTAAATCTAGTATATATACACCATTGACATTTTAGAACATGTTTTCTAATATGCTGTGAGTATATATACACACACATATATATACACATGCATATATATGTATTCACGTGATGTATATGTCTGTATATGCACATTCATTTATATGTATATTGATAATATTTTTTCTAATTTTTTATTGTGGCAAAATACACAGAACATAACTTACTGTATTAACCATTTTTAAGTGTACAGTTCAGTGGTATTAAATACATTAATATTGTGCAACAATCACCCTCATCCATCTCAGAACTCTTCATCTTGCAAAACTGAAACTGTATGCATTAAACAATAAACTCCTTATGGCCCCTAGCCCCTGGTAACCACCATTCTACTCTGTTACTATGAGTTTGGCTGGCTGACTTTTTCTTTTCTTTTCTCTTTTCTTTTCTTTTCTTTTCTTTTCTTTCTTTCTTTCTTTCTTTCTTTCTTTCTTTCTTTCTTTCTTTCTTTTCTTTCATTCAAGATCCACTTATAAAAAAAAAGATCCACTTATAAGTGAGATCATGCAGTATTTGTCTTTTTGTGTCTGGCTTATTTCACTTAGCATAAGGTCTTCCAGATTTATCCCTGTTGTCACAAATGTCAGGATTTCCATCTTTTTGTGGTGGAATAATATTCCTGTGTGTGTGTGTGTGTGTGTTACAATTTCTTTATCCAATCATCCATCCAGAAACACTTAGGTTTTTTTCCATATTTTTGTTATTGTGAATAATGCTGCAATGAACATGAGAGTGCAAGTATTTCTTTGAAATATTAATTTGCTTTCTTTGGATATGTATCTGGAAGTAGGATTGCTAGATCATACGGCAGTTCTGTTTTTAAGTTTTATTTTTTTTTTTACGTATAGAGGTCTTTGTTTTGTTTTGGTTTTTTGTTTTTTGTTTTTTTTGTTGTTGTTGTTTTTAGATTTATTTATTCATGAGAGACAGAGAGAGGCAGACACAGGCAGAGGGAGAAGCAGGCTCCATGCAGGGAGCCCAATGCGGGACTGCATCCTGGGTCTCCAGGATCATGCCCTGGGCCAAAGGCGGTCCTAAACCGCTGAGCCACACGGGCTACCCTGTTTTTAAGTTTTAGAGGAGTCTTCTTACTGTTTTCCATGGTTGCTGTACCAATTTCCTTTCCCACCAATGGTGCACAGGATTCCTTTTCTCCAAATCATTGTCAACAATTGTTTTCTCTGGGACGCTTCCGTGGCTCAGCGGTTAAGCACTTCTGCCCTTGGCTCAGGTCATGATCCTGGAGTCCTGGGACCGAGTCTCATATCGGGGTCCCTGAATGGAGCCTGCATCTCCCTTTGCCTGTGTCTCTCCCTCTCTCTTTGTCTCTCATGGATAAATAAATAAAATATTAAAAAAAAACAATTATTTTATCTTTTTGATAATAGCCATTCTAGCAGGTGTGAGAGTATTTCATTGTGATTTTGATTTGCATTTGCTTGACAATGGATGTTGAGTACCTTTTCATGTTGTTGGCCATTAGTATGTCTTCCTTGGGAAAAAAAAATCTTTTGCCCATTTAAAAAATCTTTTTTTACTATTGAGTTGTATTCCTTTTCTATTTTGGATATTAATCCCTTATCAAATATATGCTTTGCAAATATTTGCCTTGTTCTTAATCCTAGAGAAAAATCTATCAGTCTTTCTCCAGTAAATATGCTCTTTGTGTGGCCTGTTTATATGTGGACTTTTATGTTGAGTTAGTTTGCTTCTATTCTTAGTTTATTGATTTTTTTTTTTTTAATCAGGAAGGAGTGTTGAATTTTTGTCAAGATGCTCATGTGGTTTTTGTCCTTCATTTTGTTTATGTGGTATATTAAATTGTTTCAAAGCATTACAAATAGTGAGCTAGGCTTATGTTCACACATAAATTCTATTTGATTTTACAGTGTGACCCTTTTAATGTGCTTTTTTTTTTTTTTTTTAAGTAGGCTCCATACACAGTGTGGAGCCAAATGCTGGGCTTTGATCAGTAGACAAGACCTGAGCTGAATGCTTCACCAACTGAGCCACTCAGGTGCTCCTTAATATGCTTTAAAATTCTGTTTGCTAGTATTTTATTTAGAATTTTTGCATCATTTTTTCATCATTATTAATCAGGAATATTGGTCTGTAGTTTTTTTATGTCTTTGTTTGGTTTTGATATCATAATGCTGACCTCATGGAGTTGGTTTACGAGTTTCCTCCTTTTTGATTCTTTAGAACAGTTTGAGAAGGGTTGGTATTCTTTTTAAAATGATAGAATTCTCCAGTGAAGCCATCTGGTTTTGGGCTTTTATTTGTTAGGAGGTTTTTGACTACTGTTTCAATCTCTTTACTAGTTACAGGTCTGTTCAGAGTTCAGGCCTTGGTAGATTGTATGTTTCTAGGAATTTATCCATTTCTTCTAAGTTATCCAAAAAGTCTTTGAGTGAGTGGACATCAATGTAATATCCCCTCTTTCATTTCCAATTTTAGTTATTTAAATGCTTTCTCTTTTTTTCATTCTTAATCTACCCAAGGATTTGTCACTTTTCAAAAATTACCTTTGGTATCATGTTTTCTAATTCTCCATTTCATTTATCTCTGCTCTAATATTTATGATCTCCTTTCTTCTGCAAACACTGGGTTAAAAAATTTTTTTTTATTGTTCCTTTAGGTGAAAGGTTAGGTTGTTGGTTTGTGATTTTTTTAAGTGTAAACATTTACTACCATAAACTTTTTGTACTGATTTGCTGAATTCATAGTTTTGATTTTTGTGTTTTGTTTCCATTTACCTTCAGATATTTTCTAAATTCCTTTATGATTTTTTCTTTGATCTGTGGGTTGTTGAAGAGCATGTTGTTTAATTTTCACATAGTTGTGGATTTTTTTCTTTCTGCTACTGATTTCTAGTTTTACCCCATTGTATTTGAAAATTTGCTTTGTGTGATTTTGATCTTAAAATTCTTAAAACTTGTTTTGTGCCCTAACATGTTGAAAAATGTTCTATATATGCTTGAGGAGAACATGTATTTTGCTGTTGTTGGGTGGGATATTCTCACAGGTTTGTTATGTCTATCTATTTTACAGTATTATTAAGCGCTAATTGATATGTTGTCTAATTGTTCTTGCCATAACTGAAAGTAGGGATATTGAAATATTCTATTATTGTGTTGCTGTCTGTTTCTCCCTTTGGTTCTGTTAGTGTTTGCTTCATATATTTGGATGCTTTAATGTCAGGTGCATGTATATTTATAATGTTATATCCTCCTAATGAGTTGACCCTTTTATCATTTTATAGTATCCTTTGTTTTCTTTTTTTGGTAGTTTTGTCTTAATTTCTATTTTGTCTAAGAATGGCCACCCCTGCTATCTTTAGGTTCCTTTTTCTGTGTAATATCTTCTTCTGGCCCTCTATTCTGAGCCTGTGTGAGTCCTAAGACTTAAGGAGAGCCTCTTATAGGCAACATATAGTTGGATTTTTTTTTTAAAAATTTTGTATTCTGTGTCTTCTCATTGGTGTGTTTAATCCACTTATACTTAATGTAATTACTGGTAGGAAAGGCTTACTATTGCCATTATTTTAATGATTTCTCTTTGGTAGCTTTGGGTTCCTCTTTTTTTCTCTTGGTATCTTCTTTTGTGTTTTGTTGATTTTTTTTTTGTAGTGACATATTTTGATTCCATTATTGTTTCCATTTTTGTATATTCTGTAGAT